TTTGATCGGCCCTCACTTCACCTCTCGGCTATGGCCTCCTTCTCTCCCTTCTCGGTCTCTCCCCCTCTGTCCGGTCTCTCTCCCTCCTTCGTTACTCAGTGATGATTCTCCGCGGTTATGGCCGCTTCTTCTTCCTCCACGTGGGACTGCACAGTCCGCTTCACAGGTACGTAAGAGCCAAACTTGTATCACTCATCTCTCTCTCTCTCTCTCTCTCTCTCTCTCTCTCTCTCTCTCTCAAGAATACGACTATTTATGGTTTTTTGTGGCGCCGTAGCGATATCTCCAGCGCAGCAGGTATGTAGTATCCCAATCTTGTATCGCTCAACCTTACTCTCTCTCTCTCTCTCTCTCTCTCTCTCTTCTTCTTCGTCGTGGTCTTCTTTGCAGGTGCGCGGCGGCTTCTCCAACCTCAGGTCCGCTATGGCGGACTACTGCCTTTGGCGGCCACCTCTGCTATGGCGCATCAGGCCCTGCACACGACGACGCGCATGGAATAGAGGGTACCAGCTCCGATACGAATGCAATCAGACTCGTTCTTATTCACACTTTTCATGCATGTAAATAGCAGCGCAGCAAACTGGCGACATGCGCCCACTCAAAACTCAAAGATATGGCATCCGGATATGAGTTCACTTCCAACTGGCTATGGCGACTCAGCGCCCAAACAACTCACTGTTCACATGCACCGGATCACCCTGGATATCCCACACGCGTCACTCTGAATACTCAAACACACACACACACACTTTCGGCTAACTACCGCTATGGCAGCTATGGCTGCCTCTACCCTATTGCTATACTAAGCTCCTTCTCTCTCACCCATTGCGTCCTCCGGGCTCACTGCAGACCTCCTTGCACAAGTCGCTGTGGCAACGCTTCCGCATGGCTCACGCAGGAATGAATGAATGGTTGGGCGCTGCCTCTTGATTTATACTTCGGAAACTCGTTGGTCTGCCCTTTGCCATCAGCCCATGGTGCTCACAGTCCCCCGTGGTACTTGCTGGACCGGACTGGGACTGAYTGGACCTTACCGCTGACTGRCTGTGGACTCRCTGCTATCCTACYGAGGTTGGAYTGCGATTGCACTGCAGTTTAGTCMACCCACTTKACTCGCCACTTGACCACTTGYCCACTTGCCGACCTTCTAGAAGGACTATAGCTAGACTTYTGGAACTYGCTAAGACTTCTACTCTATAGATCTACARATCGAACCCMTGCTACCTATGGACCTATGACAGACCTACCAAYTGTCTACGAATACACAGGTCACAGGTTCAACTCTCGAGGACTACACAGATACTGTACAGGGGTAGGGTGAGGTCTAGGGATCGAGCCCTGGGATCTGCATCTATTACAGCGAAAAGGTGAAAACTGTTTCTAAAGTTTGAATTATCTTATTTCCCTCCCCTCCTCTCTCATTTTCTGATTTATTTTACTTTCTTTTTATTTATTCTGAAAATTCGAATTTATCTGATTAGGAGTTGGTCATTCTTGCTTTCGGCACACATTTTGACCCCGTGGGGGTAACGAAGTGTTGCCGAAATTTTCTGTTTTCACTTATCTATTTTACTTAGCCTTTCTTCTTGACGGCACACTTTGACCCCATGGGGTTAACGAAATGTTGCCGATTTTTTTGAAAAATCAGATAATTCATTTCTCTCCACCTCCTCATCTACTTATTGATTTATTTAGTTATTTATTTATTATTTTTTTAAATTCTTTTAATTAGCAGCATTTTGAAACCTAGTGTGCTTATCTTGGTCTCTCTTTTCCCTTGGTACATTCTTGACCCCATGGGGGGTAGGGAAATGCTGCCGAAAATTCTAAAAAAATAAATATTATTTCTCTTCATATTTGTTTCCTTATTTTTTTAATTATTTTTATAATTTATTTATTTTCTTATTTATTTTTATTTTTCTCTCGAAATTTCGCTGTTTATTTATTTTTTCTCCCGCCTCCCCCCCCCTATGCTTGCTATTTTATTTTCTTGATTAGGTCACCGGTACCCTACCCTAACCACTCAAACTCTGGTAAGGGTTTTCTTAGGGTTTTCCTAACCCCCTTACTTTCCGTTCTCATTCGGCCACCCTGGATCCGAACCACCCCTCCCCCTTTGAAGACGCCCGCGCTCGATTTACTAGCGTCGCCCGTCGCTTTCTATCGCAGACCTCCCCCTACGCCCTCCGCTCACGCGGACCTCCTCCGACCCTCTCTAGTCCGGCCCGTTACCTCCCCATGGCCGACGGCGTGTCACAAGCCGCCGAGGCGGCGACGACCTCGGCATCGGGCTGCACACCCGTGCTGACGGACCAGGGCCATCAAGCCCAGGGGGATCTGCACACCCTCATTACCTCCCTCCTTGCACCCTTACAGACGCAAATGGCGACTCTTGCCGCTGGCCTGCGGCAACTCCAGGACGCTGGTCGTCCTTCCTCTCCCAACTCTCTCTCTTCTCCTGGCTCCCAATCCGGATCCCCCGTCCTCCGACATGGTGGCCATGGCGGAGCTTCCTCCTCTGCCACCCCCGACCCGACCATCTTGGTGACCGTCCACGCTCCTAGCGCAACGGCCACCACGGGCCAGACCCTCCCTCACCCTACGGGCGCACCCGCCCAGATTCCGGTCACTACGGCCACGGGACCACAACCCGCTTCTCCCTCCCCTTCGCACGACCGCAACGCCACCAAGCTCTCCCCCCTCTGGGATGCCCGGTGCCACTTGTGCGTCCACTTCCCCCACTCTTCCTCCTGCCACTCCTCGCTCGATCTACGTTCGACGTCTCAAGGACGAGCTTGCCCAAACCCGGGCCGACCTCGCCCTCTTACGCCTTCAGCCACCCCCACCCTCACAGGTGGCCGCGCCTTTGGGCGCACCCCCTTCTTCCTCTACCCTTCCTTCCATGCAGGCTCGCTTCCCTCGCCCTGCACCCTATCTAGCCCCATCCTACCTTCTTCCTATTCCCTCGGTTGCTACGACATCTTCTACCGTAGCTCCCTCGCAGCCTGCCACTATTGCCCCCGCCGCTCCCCCATGTGGCCCGGGCGTACAGTCAGCTGCGCCCCTTTCTCCAGGACTTGCGCCGACTTACTCAGTCGTGGCACAGGCCTCTGCTCCTCAATCCCCTCGTCGCCAAAACGGTGGCGCACCACTCGTCCGCTTGGCGGACATTGCCTTGTACGACGGTAGAGGGATACGCATCTCTCGGTGGCTGCAGTCTGCCACCCGCACGCTCCAGCTCATGGGCGCCCCACCCGACACGTGGGTAGGTCACCTCTCCATGCGCCTGCGTGGCGGTCCTTTCAAGGCATGGGAGGATTTCTACACCCACTCCCTTCATGAGGGTCAGACCCCGACCTTCATGGATTTCCAGGCGTTCCTCGAGGATCACTTCGGAGCTCGACATGACGTCACTGACGCCTTCGAGCGAGTCGTCAGCACACGCTGGTCCGGCTCTGGTGGCGCTGTCGGCCTGGATTGCCACATCCAGGTCTTCCAGGATGCCCGCCTCATTTGTGATGTGGCATTCCTCCCTGAGGCTGCCCTCATCGACCGTTTCTTGGCCAGCCTTCCCCTTGAGTACCGCTCCGAGTTATGGCGGTACGAGTTCACATCGGCCCCCGGCTTACGAGGCCGCTAGGACCCATCAGCGGATGGGGGCCCGTCTTCACCCCGCCTCCTCCTCCCAGCCTCAGCGTATTGGTTACGCCCCCTCCTCCTCTCACGACACTTCCCAGCGTCGTTCCCCTTTCCGCGGTCCGCCCCCGTCGTTCCGTGCAGCAGGGCCACCACTTCTCGCGCAGCTTCAGCTCGGTCGAGTATGGTGAGCAGGACGCTGTTGCCCCACTGTCGCCAAAGGGTGACCATAGCGACGACCTTGACCTCGGCGAGGCTGTCCACTACCACCTGGAGGACTCTACTCTCCCTATGGCCGAGCGCCTCCAGCTCATCCTCTCCGCCCTCTCCCGGGCACGCAGCCGCCCCGGTCACGCTGGCGCATCGCCCCCCGAGGTCCCTCAGTAGGACCTCCCTCAGGGCTTTGTCCCTCCTCGCAGTGTCCTTTCCGTTGAGGAGCGCGCGGCCATTTTGGGCCGGCATGGATGTTTGCGATGCCGCCAGGACGGTCATACCTCCTCGCGGTGCCCTTACACCGCCGCCCTTGACCGCCACTACGCCGACCTTTCCCGCCAACGTCGTGCTCAGCCCCCTCCAGGCGCCTCGCATCCCCGCGGCGCCTCCTAGCCACGGTGCAGTGTACACTTGCGTCCTCCTCAGTAGTCGGCTTCCCGACATCCCCGTCGCGGTTTGCCCCTCTCGCTACTGGAGTTGAGGTATCGCAAGACCCGACATAGTGTACTTATCCCTCTGTCGCAGTGTCGTCTGCGCCTCCGCAGACCACTGTCTCCCCTCCTACCCCGCGGCGATGACCGACTCGTCGAGCCATTCGCTCAGCCCGTTGTTGCGAGCAGCTTGCAACTCGCGAGGACGTTGTGTCCTCTCTTCTGGACTTGAGCATGCTCCGGGCTCGTCAGGAGCGACTCACCCTCCATGTCGCTGCACTGCGTCACCTCCTCACCATCCTCTCTGACCCTGATCGCACCCTTCCGATCACTTCAGTACGACTGGGGACCTCCACGAGGGCGTACTCAGCGCTGTGGGATTCTGGTTCTCAGGGCGACTTCATTCACCCAAGTGTAGTGAAAAAAGTCCGCTTACCCACGACAGGGTCTCCGACTCCCATCTCCGTCACCCTAGGGGATGACAAGACCCAACGCTTCTTCGATCAGACGGTCACCGACCTCCCCTTCTTCCTCACCCTCGAGCCGACCGATCGTCCCCCGGCGTCTCGTCACCACCGCTCCTCTGCACATTTCGATGTGATGGAGACGGGGTACGATTTCATTCTCGGTACTCTGTGGTCTCGTTGGTTCCGCAACACCGAGGCCGATTGGGCAACCAACACTCTCGTTCTCAKAACGAAGTGTGGACARATGTATCGCGTACCTTTCATAGGTACCACTGCGACACCACACCCCGATTCTCCTCCCCTGGAGCCTTCCGTGCCCACACCATCTCCTTCTATTACTGTCACCTCGCCTCGGCAGTTTGCTCACTTCATCCGAGAGGACGACGTCACCTTCTTTATGGTGAACGTTACGGATCTCTTACACTATGATCCACCCTGTCCCGACGCCGAGCTCATCCCTCTGGAGCCAGATCCTCCTTCTATCTCTATGGCTCCCATCTCTACTTCCCACCCTCCGCCGTCCGTCGAGTCCACCCCACCGTCGCGCTCTGATGCTAACGCTGAGGAACTCGCACGATATACGGCTGACCTGGAGCCCGCAGTTCATGACCTCATTCGAGAGTACCATGACGTTTTCCCATCGTCGTTCTCGTACGTCGGCATCCCACCGATGCGCGACGTCGAGCACTCGATCCAGCTTGTGCCTGACTATCGTGTTCAACACCAGGCACCCTATAGACTCTCGATCCCCGAGGCCACCGAACTCGAGCGTCAACTTGAGGAGCTCTTGAGACTGGGTTTCATTAAACCCAACAATTCCCCGTGGGGTGCACCCGTCCTCTTTGCTCGCAAAGCGGATAGAACTCTCCGTCTCTGCATGGACTATCGCGGTCTCAACCGCTACATGGTTAAGAACAGCTACCCCATGCCTCGTTCCTACGAGATGTTCGACCGCCTAGCAGGCAACCGCTTCTTTACGAAGATTGATCTTCGTAGCAGTTACCATCAGATCCCTGTCGCTACAGCGGACCAGCCGAAGACAGCGTTCCAATCGCGCTTCGGCCACTATAAGTTTACGGTGATGCCATTCGGGCTCACCAACGCACCCGCCACCTTCCAGAGGGTGATGAACGACATCTTCAGGGACATCCTGGAGCAGTACGTTCTCGTCTACCTCGACGATATCCTGGTCTACAGTCGTACCCTTGAGGAGCATCTCAGACACCTCCACGACGTCCTTGACCGCTTGCGCAGGCATGGTTTTTACGCCAAGTTGAGCAAGTGCCGCTTTGCCCAGCACAAGTGGATTTCTTAGGACACTACGTGTATGACCAGGGTCTCCACATGGACGACGCGAAGATCACTGCTATTGCGGAGTGGCCCGTCCCCACATCCGCCAAGCAGCTTCACAACTTCCTAGGCCTTACCAGCTACTATAGTAATTTCATCCAGGGATACGCTAGGTATTCCTACGCCCTTACCTCCACCCTCCTCCGGAAGAACCCGCCCTGGGCTTGGACACCCCTCCACGAGGACGCCTTCCGCGCCCTCAAGAAGGCGGTGACATGCGCACCGGTTCTTCACCTACCCGATTTTGATCGCCCTTTTATCCTTACCACCGATGCGTTAGACTTTGTTGTAGGARYAGTGCTTKCTYAGRTYTTCCCCTCCTCTCCTGAYTCCTCTCATCCTCGTATCCCTCGCTTCCCACCMCCTACCCCTACCACTGCYTCCCGMCTGACGCCTACTCGTCCAGCTACTGACGAGCCTTCTATTGACTATTCTCCTACCATCGCCRAGGACRGCACTGTCGAGTCTCGCTYAKGTGATTGTCCGATAGCCTTCTACTCCCGTCAGCTCCTACCCGCCGAGATAAACTACACTGCTGATGAACGTGAGGTTCTCGCAGTAGTTTATGCCGCTCGACACTGGCGTCACTACATGCACGGGGCACCATTCACGGTGCGCACGGACAACTCTGTTGTCATGGCTTTTCTGACAAAGCCGAAGGCTCGCTGGTGGCGCGACCTATCCGAGTTTAGTTTCACCACTGAGCACATCAAGGGTGAGACTAATCGGGTCGCAGATGCCTTATCCCGGCGCCCTGACCACGATCAGGAGTAGATCCAACTCGCTTCCATCTCGGTCACCACCGTCGATCACTCGGTGATTGACGAGTTTCGCACTCAGTACCGCCACTGCCCCGACTATCGCGACATCCATGCGACCCTTCGGAGTGGCAAGACCGTCCCGAACTACTCTCTTGGGGACAACGGTCTCATGTACTGGCACGGTTTACAGGGCACCAGAGAGCCCCGTATTTGCGTTCCCTCCACTGGACAGCTATGTGTCCGGGAAGTAGCACAGTTCCATGACCAGGCAGCCGCCGGTCATATGGGCTTCCACAAGACGTTGGCTCGTGTGAGCCACCTGTACGTCTGGCCGAAGCGCAAGGACTTTGTGAAGGACTACATCGCAGAGTGTCCCACCTGTCAGGAGGTGAACAGTGTGAACCACTTGCCTTATGGTTTGCTCCAGCCTCTTCCTATCCCCGAGGGTCGTTAGCAGTCCATCTCGATGGACTTTATCGGTCCCCTTCGTCCTTCGACCCCCCGCGGTCATGATGCTATCCTGGTCGTCGTCGATCGCTTCACGAAGCGTGCACGCTTTGTTCCGTGCCGCTATGCCATCAGTGCACGTGAGGTCGCCGACATCGTGTTTGACCGAGTCGTGCGTGACCACGACTTACCTTTGAGCATCATATCTGACCGTGACCAGCGCTTTACCAGCCGATTCTGGCGACGGCTCCATGAGGTTTACGGCACCCAACTTCGCTTCTCCTCGTCTTACCATCCCCAGACTGATGGTCAGACCGAGGTCACAAATAGGACTCTCGGAGATATTCTCTGAAAGATTGTTCGTGACGACCAGCAGTGGGATCTCCATCTTGCCCACGCGGAGATAGCCTACAACCACGCCGTCTCGCCAGCCACGAGGATGTCGCCTTACTATTGCGACCTCGGCTATGACCCTCGTGTTCCCGCGGACTTCCTTCGACTGTCACAGATGCACCCCGACACGAGTTCTCCCGCGCTGGATGATTGGGTTGCACGCATGACGTCGATCATGAAGACCGCACATGAGCACATAGCCGCTTCCCAGACTCGCATGGCAGCACGTGCGAACCGATCGAGGATGGATCATCCATTCAAAGTCGGTGATGGCGTGCTTATCGACGCCCGCCACTTACAGCTCGAAGCGGACACGCTTCGCAAGTTTCGGCGTCGCTTCTTTGGCCCATGCCGCATCCTCCAGGCCGTCGGTTCTGATACGGCTTCTATCCCTATCAGCTTCCGTGTGAAGCTGCCTGACTACCTACGCCAGGCTCGTGTGCACGATGTCTACCACGTCTCGTTACTGCGTCCCTACCGCAGACCGTCTGAGCGTTTCACTGGACGACCATACGAGCGCCCTCCACCCATCATGGTGGACAGCCATGAGGAGTTCCTCGTTTCAGACATCATTGGTCGCCGAGTCACCGACGACAACCCTCCTCACGTCGAGTATCTCGTACATTGGAAGGGTTACCCAGATGAGGAGGCTGCTTGGGAGCCCCTCGAGCACTTGCAGCACGCTTGCATGTTGGTGCGTGCCTACGACCGTGCTCGTCGTGCTAGGTTGACCGCTCCTCCTCAGCCCACTGACCCTCCTCCTTCTCCCTCGGCTGAGGAGGCTGCTGAAGTCGAGCCTGCTCCATCTGAGGCAGACCTTCAACAGCAGCCGGATGCTTCTGAGCGTCCACAGCGCACTCGTCGTCGTCCTGCTCGATACGACGATTGACTCTGACTTATCTTCCCACGTCTTTGACTTCTCAGTACTCCATCCACTCCAATTTTGCCACTTTAGCTCGTCGACATTGAGACTTTTCCTCGACAGCATTACGAACTTCTCACCATGGACGTCATCGACAGCTTCATGGACTTCGTCACTATCAGCTCTGCCTACTTCAGACGTCATCACCTTCTGACCACTTTACCCTGTACAATACCCTGGTTGTGGCGCATGATGGTCTCCCTTCGCCGGGTTCCTCTGAGTTGGGCTCTCCCTTGGTATACGCATAGGCATCGGGACCGTAGCGTTGCCCTGGTTTCCCAACTTACGGATCTAGCTCCGACTCCCCTCACTTTAGGAGTCATTTGCATGATTCCCTTACCCATCACCTTTCTACCCTTTGCCGACCCTCACGCCCTAGTTAGGCAGCCTTGCATGCTTCATCTAGGTGCGCCAGTATACCAGGCTCCCTTGTTCCCTTGCATGGTCGACCCTCCATAGCATAGCGGTCACCCCTTTAGTCGAGCATTACCCGCCCTGATGGTCTATCTGTTAGGGTCATTGGTTTTGTTCGCTCCCAGTTCACTACCCTCATTGAGCCTGATGACATGTGTTCCCCCTGTCACTATGTGTGGATGCCCTTACGAGTTATCGAACCCTAGGCTGCATTCACCACCCTCAGAGACCATCCCACCCTTTGGTTTGCGACACACTCCTCCTGTGACATATGGTTGACTTGTTGTTGCTTGTTGCTCTCAGACTGAGGCTACTGCCTCTGACATTTCTAGGATTTAGTTGTTTTGCTTTTGCTGTTCTTAGGACTTATACACTAGTCAGTTGTTTCCAGACTGAGGCTACTGCCTCCAACATTCTAGGACCTAGCTGTCATTACTTTCTGCTTTCCTAGGACATGTATGCTAGTTAGTTGCTTTTGCTTTCACTTAGGCTGTTACTGTTTTTGTGACATTTTCTATCATAGGTTGCATCGCATGGACTCGGCATGGAGCTTGCTCCCCATCCAAGACTGCTCAAGTTTTCTTTTTCTTTGGTAGAGTTTCGCTTCTTGGCGGAAGCGTGCTTGTATCTAGGCGATCCATCACAGGCCGAGGATCGTGTAGCGGACCTCTAGTTGGCCTGTGAGACCAGCCCCTTGGCCTGTTCTCATAGGCCTGTGTTGTATTTGGGGCAGTCCAGTACAGGCCGGTACCTCTGTCGGTACCAGCCAGTCCAGTCCAGTCCCATCAGTCCGCTGGGGTATACCCCAGCTGTTGTCTGTTTTCCGCCTCATTCAACATCTGCACACTTTGGAATACGTGCGTTGGAGTCTAGCGTGGGAGCTGCGCTGTGCCATCTCGCTCCCCCTTCTTCCTCCATCTCCATCTCTATCCCTGGCGGAGCACCACCCCTGGTGGGTCCGCCACAGTTCCGAAGTTCCACCTTTCTTGACGAAAAGGCAGCTGGTTTCGAAGGGGGATGAACTTGGCTTAATGAACCCTTTTTCAAGGAGTTCTCTGCGTTGCCGCTTCATTTCTTCGGCTTCGGGGACAGAGAGTTGGTATGGAGGGCGACAAGGTGGAGAATGTCCGGGTTCCAAATCGATGGTATGGGATATGCCACGATCCGGAGGTAGTCCGGCGGGTAAGGACTCAAGAAAGACGTCCCTGGACTCGTCGAGGATTGAGGTGATGGCGGGGTTGGAGGAGGGGGCTTGATCGGGTTTGTCCGTCAGGAGTAAGTCCTCGGGACTTTCGCGATCAAGGACAAGACAGTAGTAGGCGGAGTCGGGGTTTAGGCGAGCCATGTGGAGGAATTGGTGCGGGGTGACAGAGCCTTGGGAGGTCAGATATGGGAGATAGGGGATGTCGATGGTTGTGTCGGGGGGGGTGGTGAGGCAAAGGAAGTTGGGGTGGAATGCGTATGGCATGTAGCGGTCCAGCCACGGGGTTCCTAAGACGATTTCGCACATCAAGTGCATGACATCAAACGAGACCTGACTGCGGAGGGTTCCGACGATCATGGTGGTCTCGGGAACCGTGCCGTCTACAATGACGGTGGTGTCTTTGTCCCCTAGGCGAATCGTGATCGGGGAGTCATAAACGGTAGAGGTAAGACCGGCTTTGCGGACACACGCGTCGGTGATGAAGTTACCGGTGACTCCAATGTCGAGGAGCGCCCGAAACTTAGTTGTAGACGCACCAAGGGTGGCAGCGATGAATTTGAGATGGAAACGAGATGAGTTGGCGGTGGAGATGATGGTGTTGAGGCGGCGTTGTTAGTTGCCTAAGCGAACAAGCCGATCGTGTCGGGTGTGTTCCTCAACAACATCGGAGAAGGTGATAGTGGATGGGTTTGGAAGAAGGGCAGAGGAGCATGAGGCAGTGGGAGGCGTTTGGGACGCCTGGGAGTCGTCCGGTGGAGGGGGCGTCACCGGAGAGGGGGGAGGCAGACGAATTGTCGATGCCAGATGGGCCATCGGTGGGACGGAGTACGTCACCGATGGGTGGGACGACAGACCTGATGTCGATGTCGGGCCAATGTCCTGGGGACTGTGTTCATGATGAGGAGGGACCCGCGCTTGCCGAGGGCGGTGTTGCGGAGGTCGCGGGTCGAGTGGAGGCGGACTGGCGGGTGAATCGTGCGGCGTTGGGGCAGTTGGTTTGTTGGTACCCCAATTGGCGACAACGAAAGCAACCCCCTTTTGCTTGGAGGTAGGTGCGCTCCTCGGGGGTGAGTTTCTTGAGGCGGGAGGGTGGGGTAGATGAGGGTGGTCGGGAGCTGCGATCTTTGCGCTCCATTCTCATGAATTGGACGACATTGAGTTCCTCAGAAGTGAGGGATGAAGAGTCGAGTGAATCGGAAGATGCGTCGGGGTCAGATGTGGTGAACTCGTCCGAGGAAGTGATGGAGGTGGTGTCTTCGGGGGTGATGTGGTGGAAAAAGCGGGTGCGGGAGGGGTCGGGAGGGGGCTGGTGGTGGGGGTGGAGTCGTCGATCATGGTGAAGCATGCGAGAGAGGAGGTAAGCAAGGGGCATGTCGGGTTCGTGGGCGAGGGCGGTTGCAAGGTCTTTGTGGCATACTCGTTTGATGCGGGAGATAGACGCAAAGTCGGGAATGACGGTGTGGGGGAGGTGGTGGCGGAGGGAGCGGACGTATTGGACGAAGCGGTCCGTGGGACCGGTCTGGCCGAGGTGGCAGAATTGTTCAAGGTAGTCGTCAATGGTTTTCTGTGGGCGGAAGGTGGGAGTGAGAAGGTTGGCCCATTGGAGGAAGGAGTGACGTGGTTCTCCGGAGGCTCGACGGTTGCTAACTTCAGCCATCCACCATTTGTCGGCATTGCCGAGGAGGCGGGAGGTGGCAATGGGGAGCCAGTGGGCAAGGGGCATGTGGTGGAGGTGAAAAGAGTTCTGAAGCTGGGTTAGGAAGAGAAAAACGTCCTCATAGGGGAGGCCGGAGAAGGACATGATTTCGCCGGATCGGAAGTAACGGGAGATTTCCCCATCACGATGAGCGATTTGCGTGAGGGTGTTGAAGCTGAGGTTATCGGGGGTGGTGTCGTAGCAGGTGTGGTCGAGTTGGTTGTTGTCCTCAAGGAGGTAGCTGGGGGGGAGTTGTGGCATTGTGGGGTAAGAGCCCGGAGATGACTTGGGAATAGATGGGATGGATGGTGGGGATGGTGGAGGTGGTCATGATGGGTTGGGAGAGGGTTTGGGAGTGCGGGGGCGGAAGAGGGGTGACGTGGATGGGCGAGGAATGGGGCGGTGTGCTGGATGCGCCAGATGAGGGAGGAGGTGGAGGGAATGGAATAGTGGACCTTGGACCTTCGACGTCATGGAAACCCTATACGACCTTGTTCTCGGCACCGCCTACTCCCATCAGTTCGCCCATTCTGGTCCCGATTGGATCCACAACGACCTCGTCCTTGCGTCAAGGATGGGAAGCAATATCGTATTCCGTTGTTAGGCAAATCAGACTCTACATCTCCCTCTTTTGTCAATGTCGCCATCTTGACACCTACTCAGTTCCACCACATCCTTCGTCAGCCTGATGCCGAACTTTACATTGTCGACATCACGGATCTCCTTGTCTGTAACTCCATGCATCCGGACGTTGAGTTGGTCGAGCTCAACCCACCTCTCCCGAGACCCCCGAACCTCCTGATCCTTCAGCCTTCTCATCCTCGTCCAACCCTGCTAGCTCATCTCACCTTATTGCATCCTTTACCACGGAGGCTCCATCGGTACCTATTCCCATACCAATTGCTTCCACCCCTGACACTGCTGATTCTGAGGAGTTTGACAACCTCCTATCGACTTTGCAGTCTAGCGTTGTTGCCCTCCTTCGCAAGTATCACGATGTTTTCCCTACATCTGTTTCTTATAGCAACATCCCTCTTATGCGCGTTATAGAGCACCACATCCGGCTCGAACCTAACTACCGTATTCAGCATCGCGCCCCATATCGCCTCTCGGTCCCCGAATCTCAAATTGATGAGCTGCTTCATCAGGGCTTCATTAAACCGAGTACGTTCCCATGGAGTGCACCTGTCCTCTTCGATCGTAAGAAGGACGACACCCTCCGCCTCTGCCCTGACTACCGCGGTCTCAACGACTATACAGTCAGAAACAGTTATCCTATGCCCCGTGCGGATGATTTGTTTGACCGCCTCTCCGACCACCACTTTTCACGAAGATCGATTTTCGTAGCGGATATCACTAGATCCCCGTAGCCGAGGAGGACCAGCCTAAGACCGCTTTCCGTTCTCGTTTTGGGCACTATGAGTTTACCGTCATGCCTTTCGGTCTCCGTAATGCTTCTGCCACCTTCCAAACAGCTATGAACACGATGTTCCAAGACCTTCTTGAGGAGTCGGTTCTAATCTATATTGACGACATCCTGGTCTACATTCGTACCTCGGAGGAGCATCTGATCCACCTTCGCATTGTCCTCCAGCGATTACGTGACCATGGGTTCTATGCGCAGCTCTCCAAATGCCGCTTCGCTCAACCCAAAGTCGACTTCCTGGGGCATCAGATCTCCGAGCACGGACTCCACATGGACGACTCGAAGATTCAGACCATTGTCGACTATCCCACTCCTACCTCCCTCCCTGCGCTACGTAGTTTCCTTGGGTGCACCAACTACTATGGTCATTTCTTAAAAACTATGCGCAGTATACTGCCCAACTTACC